AGCTAGACCCAGAGGCGAACACACCCCCGTTTCTCTCAGGGACAACTTCATTCACCTCCTCAGATCCAGACACAAAGGCGGCTTTGTCACCGTCTCCATTCTCTAATTCAAGGATCCCGTCAATAGGAGTGTTGGATGCACCCGGAGGGGAACCTCTTACCTCTTTAGCCTGTTCTATCTCAGGCGGCACACCTTTTGTGCTCTCTTCCCTATAATTCGGATCTACAGCCGTCCATCTAGTTCGAGCCATAGTGTCCTGCACATACACAGAGACGGTCGGATTTGGAGATGAACAAGAGTGGTCCAAGCACCTAGAGGCGGCACCACCATTCCTAGACTCAGCCATACTAGGGGACCGGCTGCCTACTAAACTAAGTTGTGCCGTGTGTGCTGTTGGTGAATCCATTTATGGAGTAAAATCCATTTATGAAGTCAAGCGTTGACCGGCTGTAACTAGCAGGCATAAATCGAGCAGTTGCTTGCAAGATGCACAGACAGATGATCGGATGTACCCACTTGGAAAGTAAGTGAATTTGTTGGAAAAGTACCCAGACGATTCTGGGAAGTTCTATTTGTTGGGTACACAGATGGATGACCGGCTGTAACCCCTTGAAAAAGAAAATTTTTTGCAAATTACCCAGGCGGTTCTTAGAAATTCTCCTGTCTGCCAAGAGCACAGACGTTATACAAGTTGTATCTAGTTTAAAAAAACAGAATTATCCTAAAGATACATAGGCGGTTGTCAGATGCTCTCTCTCTAGAAACGGTTGGCTCTCTTTCTAAATTTTGGAAATGTCCGAAACAAAAGATGAGGGTAAAAAGCTATTTAAGGAAGGGTAATTTCCCTAGAAGGTAAACAGTTAAAAAAGTTCACCAATACCCAAGTGACAAGTGTCATAGGCGCCACGTGGCACGCCACGTCACACCTGTGAGGGGAAAATGTTTTGGGTAAAAATACCAAAGGCCACGTGGCCAAATAAAATGGTGACATGTGTCACCCCATGAGAGGTTCAAAATGAACCAATCCTCAGCTGACATGTAGCATCTCCAATCATTGGAAAAAAGGCGGCCCTAAGGCCTAATTCCTGAGAAAAGGTCGTACAACGGCGCAGCCCAACATTCCTAGGTTTCCGTAGCCTAGGATAGTGGCACGAATCCCAAGACCCTATAAAAGGGAGATGTATCCCACCTAGGGAACACAGATATACACGTACACATATACATTCATTATTCACAAAAAACCAGAGCAGTCAATGATTGCATATAATTAATTCTCACCACCGAGAATATACATGATCTGGAAATCCAAGAGGATCCCACCTTTCTTTCCGCACTTTTTACATCTTCCAAATACATTCTAACTTGATCGTCGGAGGCGGAACTCCACCCAACCGGAGTCTCTGTTGTTTTGCAGGTACAATCGCCCGGAATCCAGTCTTGGTGTTGTAACTCTCCCGAGGGACACAGAAAACCTCGAAACAGTCATCAAATTTTTTTTTTATAATAATAAATAACTATTAGATTTCCTAGGCAAATTAATACTTTTACAAAAAAAAAAAAAGAAAAAAAATGGTAGAGTTTAGGAGGAAAATTCTCTCTCCCTAAAAAACTCCAATTTAGTATAGAGTAATAGATGTTTGAACTATAAGGAGTTCACTCAAACTTTCACTATAAGTTCCCAATGGCATTCACCGAGATTTGTTTGCCCAAACTTGAAGAAAGTTCAAACAAACCATCAAAAAGTTCGCCTAAACCTACCCTCTAGTTGTGGCGAACAATCTAGGTTTAAGAATTGAAGTTATTAACCTAGAAAGTTCGCCCGAACCCACCCAAGGTTTACCCACCCGAACTTTCGGCTAAGTTCCCTTGCATCTCCCACTATTAGTACAAACTTTTTGTTGAGATGCCCTTTTTAATTTACTATATAAAGCTCTGGAATCTCGTATAGAAACAAAGCTTTAATTAACATTATCATAGAAATTAAGCTAACTAAAGAGAGAAAAACCTCTTATTGGGCATTTGGACTACTTTGGAAAACTTTTAATTTGTAATAAATTTTTAAAGCTTTTATTTAATCAAGTAACTTTAGTATTCTTTCTTAAACCTTTTTCTTTTGCTTTTAATCCCTTTCTTTTATCATGATTTCTTACTTATGAATGAATGTTTATTGTTTGATGATGGAAATGATTGATGAACTCTTTATTTTTATTATTGGATTAAGATTATTCTTAAAGGGTAGACTTTTTTTAAGGGATAGAGTGATGGATAAATCAAGTTTGTTTGAGGGTTATGTGATGATGCTTGTTGGTCTTGATTGAATTATCGCTTAGCATTTCGTACAATGCTTATTACATTAATTATGGCAACTTGCACGTGACGAGTTGATTAGAGTAGTTTGATTAAAATGAACAAGAGATTGAGATTTTGATTTAACAATCGATTAACTTGTTTCCCCATTGTATATTCGTAGTAAATGAGAGTTCATGTATGCTACATAGGGAATTTATCTAGGATTGAGATATCCTTTAGTCTAGTCTAGATGTCAATGAGATGCATATATAAGATGTGCTTGAGTTTGGTTTGCATTTCCTTTACTCTCGTATTCTCTTAATTGATCTAGAATCCAATTACATACATCTCAATTCCAAGTTCTTAATTATTTTGGTTACTCTCATATTTGCTTAATTCCAATCCCAATTCAAATTAAGCGAATATGAGAGCAAAGAGTTCATAACTAAGCGAATCCAATTAAACTTAGGTTACTTATTAGATGAACTATTTGCTTAGATTGTTAATATTAGCTATAACTTAGGAAAGAGGCAAGAAAAAGAAGCACCACACTCCAAAACTTTGTGCATAAACCAACTAGAGTAGTGGAAGGTGCTCCTACACCTCTAGGGATGGCAATGGAGCGGGTCGGATGCGGAGGATAGTGCCTCCAATCCTCCACACCCATCCTCGCCTACAGCCCCGTTCTTAGCCTTTTGGAGGCCTATCGGCAAGATGACAAATTGGGGCCCTAAAGAATATAATAACCTTCAGTTTACGAAATTATCTATAGCACACAGAAAAGGAAAAAAAAAACATCAAATTGTATAAATGAATTAATTATTTATCATCATATATTATTGATTTACATTAGACAAGAAAAGAAAATTCAATTAATAAATCTAAGGAAAAAAAAACAAACAAAAAAACCTTTTCAATTAAATTTTTATTTATTGTTTACAAATTACAATACACATTTATAAAGTTTAAATAAATAAAGACATTACATCTTTCCAATGTTTGGTGAAAGCAATACCACTTAAACCAAAATAAAAGGTGAGATAAATTAGAAAATTGAAGAAATTTTGTTTAGATGTAGAAGACATGGAGAGAGAGAGGGATCAAATTCTATAGAAAATCAACTAAGACAAAAAGTCTTTTGAAGTAAGTTAAATTAGAGTGTTTTATTTAGAAAATTGAATATGTTAAGGATGGGAATTCGGAAAACAAAAAAAATTATAAAATGTAGTCCGGTTGAGAAGAGATTAGAGCTGAAATTTTCCTAAATTTTGGATGGAGAGTTAAATAGCCTTGTCAAAAATATTTTTTGGAAAATAATCAAAGGAAGAGGATTACTGGAATAGACGTTAATTTTGGAGTTTGGGTATTGTGAAACTTTGTGAATCTTCAGTACAATTAGTTTTTCTTTTCCCTTCCAAATAGCTCAAGTTGCTAAGAAATTGGGCCTCCACTCCTTGGGGCCCGAGGCAGCAACACCTTATGCACCGCCCCAGGGACGACCCTACCCGCCTGAAAATTTTATACTCATCCCCGCCCCCACCACTCATGGTGGGTACAATACCCACATCCATACTCGCTCTGTCGGGAGCAAGCTATTATCCATCTCCGCCCCACCACCCACTTGGATATCAATACCCACCCTAAACCCGCTGCCATAATGCCATATTGTATCACAATACTTTAATTATCATTTATGTCAAATCTCTTTTTCCATCCTCTTAGCGGAATTCATATGATGTTAATGTCATTAATTGTTTATTTTATTTTCTATAGTATCTAGATTCCATAGTTCTAGACTCTTCAAAGTTTGTTTAAACCTATATTGGATTAGTATAAGGTAGATATGGGGAGGGTTGAGGCGAGAATGGGGCGAATCTACTCTAAAATCCATGCCCACAACCCGCCCATCACCTGTGACGGGTACACTTTTTATACCTATTACCCGCAACCAAACCTCCCTCCATCCTTGCCCCAGTGGGGTGGGGATGGGCCGAGCGGGTCTCTCATTTGACCCGACCCACTGCCATCCCTATACACCTCCTTCCTCTAGCGACAAAGAATGAAGACTCCTCATTATGGTGTTTTGTGAACAACTTTGCCAATGAAGTTGAAATGGCTCAAATAAGGCCATTGAGAGAGTGCAAGGCACTTTCTACCTGTCTAAGCAAAAGTGGCTCAAAATGGACTCCATAAAGAGACGTCAATATAGTGGTGGCAAGATGAGGAATCCACTTGATCATTTGAAGGATTTTGAGAAATATTACGAAACTAACAAGAGCAATGAGGACACTTGAGATTACATCCTCTAAAAGCTTTTCTCATCTTTTCTTATAGGAGATGCCTTGAAATGGCTAGAAATTGAGGTGACACCCGCATTCCTTCACCATTTTTCTCATCAAAGAACAACCAATGCTAGATCAAAGATCCTAAACTTCCAACAAAAATCGAGTCATCGCACGAAGCTTTGGAGAAGTATAACTGTTTAAGAAGTATCAACAAGTATAACTGTTTAAGAAGTATCAACGTGAACGTACACACCATGGAATCCGTACAGACCAACTCATTCAAACATTATATAGAGGACTATCTCCCAATAGTTGGACTAGTATAAATCAGTCAGATTCCATAGATCATACACTTTCTCATAATTGTGGATATCAAAGTTTCATCAAAGAGCATGTTGTTATGCAGAGGAAATGCACTAAAGAGCAAAGATGATTAACTCCTCAATAAAAAAAAAGCTTCTATCCATTTACTTTACATCTTGTATTAGATAAATCAGAAAACAAACCAAAATAAATATATTAAAGTAATCAAACCAAAATAAATATATTAAAGTAATCACACGAGTCTTTGTTACCCAAAAACCCTCCTCCAGCCCATTTCGAACACAACCCCGAAGAACTTTCTTACAAAAAAGGGGAAATACACACCTAGGGGTTACACAACAATTCAGTCGCAAGACTTCCATATGGCTAATGTATGAACTATTGAGCTCACTGATGGCTCAGAATTCATCATATATAATCAAGATTTCACCTCAGTGACATCAACTAAAAAGTCATCATTGAAAAGTTTTGAAGTCTCTCCGTGGCTGTAAGAGTCGATGCCATCTAGGATATATTTCAAGGAGCTATAAGTAACTGCTTATGCAGATTTCATCAAATAGTAAAATCTCCTTTACTATCCTCTAATTTGTCAAACAAAAGGTTGGTGCCTGTGTCAGTATCATCAAGTTCACCAAAGAAACCACTAGCAGCATTTTCCTTCCGCAGACGACGCTCCTCTACAATAGCATCATCTGATTCTGTACACAAGCTACGCCTTGATTGTCGCGTAGGCCTTTCAGCAACAACAAATTTGTTTCCATCACGGATCCTCTCAGTAAATCCTGCCCAGACTGGAAGGAAGCAGATGTCAGATATAAGCTGTAGTTCCGCAAATGTGTCCACATAAGCTATTGTACTCCAGCAAACATGTCAGGATTCATAAACAGGATAAATATGCTAAAGTTCATTAGCTAAAAAAAAAAAGCCTTTATTTTACAGATCTACAGAAGCATGAATTGTTTTGACTAAATGTAATAACTAATCCCCCCACCCACCTTCTCTTCCCCAAATACACTAAGAAGGACACAGGACACATTAGTATGGATTGCTAACCCAAAGCATTATTTATGTAGATATAATTAAGTCAGAGCGACTGTTCTGTGATTTAAGATGAATATCCAGTACATACCTCCAAAGTGATGAAGGACTATAGAAGCTGCTATAGTAACGTTTAATGAAGCAGTCCCACCTCCATATTGGGGAATATACACAAAGAAGTCACATATCTCGCATTCCTTGGCTGAAAGGCCTGTTCCCTACAAGAAAATTAGCAATTAGTAGTAATGGTACCCAAGATTATTCAATCCTTTACTCACCAGTGTACATGAAGATTACCTCAGGTTTAATGAAAATGTTCGCCAATAAATTTGAAGAAAACAGATATCTCTTCAGTAAAGGGAAATGGAAATAAAAAATACACGAGAACTCTAGCCATAGAGATCTATATATCTAAAAGCCTCTGATTACTGCATGCAACACAATAGGAATCACTTACATTTCTAGGCAATATGTCTTTCAGATGATGAAATTTCCAGAGACATTAAGCACTGTATCAGTTTAAAATTCTAAATTGTCCATGCAACTATACAAATACATGCGAGCGGACCTGATATTAATACTGTAATGGTAGCAAAATTACCACGGAGTATAAATTTAGTTATTTTAAGATTTGGAAGCTTTCATGGATTGTTTATGTGCAGCCGCTTCAGTAGTTGTTTATACTCCCCCTTATCTTTGTTAACTTCTTTTGGGTCTATTTAGATCTGCATCATCAAGCTTAAAAAGGCTTGAATTACAGCAACAAATTGGAAATACAGAAAGCATGGCTTACCAGTGTTTTGAGGGAGACAAAAAAGAAGGATAGATTCTCCACAGGCTAAGAGATACTAACACATGTGGGTAGACGATACTTAAATAGTCCCTTTTGGGGGTAGATTACTGCACTTCGTTTTTTTATTTATTGGAATTGCATTTTGAATCTCTTTTCCTTTGTTGACCTTCCACTACTTACTAAAAGCAAAATCTTTCTTTTTTTTTGTTTTGATTTGATTCAGACCAAAAATTACGGACTTTCATTCAAAATTCATGATAAACACGATAAATTGGAACCATTAACTATTGGCTTGACTGCGGTTTCATGAATGGTTCGTAAATTTTGATTTCAAATTATGTTTACCTAATGACATAAGAAAATCCAACCCCTTTATTACCACCACTCCCTACTTATGAAATCATACACAGTTGTGCACTGGTGCATTCCCCTTGTTACTCTTCCCTCTACTTCTACAGTATGTGTACTTGATCTGGGGGCTTGCTCGATCCATTACATTACAGATTGGCCATATATTTCATTATTCATAACAGTTGTAAGTGTCTTGTTCTCCCTTGATTGATAAACAACATAAAATGGATAATAATTAACTATGTGATACAATTTTGCCAATTCTTTTATTGTACTACATAAATAACTTACCCTCTAATATAATAGGATGGAACAACAGGATCTACAGTTATTGGCTATTATGCAAGTTGGTACATAAATTCAAGCAAAAGGATAAAGATGTAAGAATAAAAAAAATACACCTCTTGTTTTAAAGTACGCTCCCCATATAAACTTTTAAAATAGAAAACAAGCAATATAATAGCAAATAATTACTGTGCATTAGAAAGGCATTCTTGAATTTATAGGTCATATTTCAATTTCAGAAAACTGGTTTAAATATGGTTACAAATACTTTTATCAACAATTCAAGCATCAACCTCTCGTCCTAAAGTCCTCTTTAATTTAAAGTTTTAAAACATAAACAAGCAATATAATTGCAAATAATTACTATATATTGAAAAGGCTTTCTTGACAAAAGTTCCAAATTTAATTTCAGAAAATAGGTCTATCGTATCACATATACACCAAAAATTTCAAGCATTAGCATTCCTGTCCTACATCCAGAAAAATTACCAAAGAACTCGTTGATCTCAAAACTCAATATAAAAAAAAAAAAGGATTAATTTTGTTGTAGATTAGTAATTCTGATTTTAATATTTTAGAACAGATTAATTTAAGTGAAAGCTTGAGAATGATTTGATTAATAACACAACCAACGGTTACAAGTAATAGCTTTAGGCTATTAATCTCACAAGGTAGCTTGAGACTACTAGTCTCTCTCTTTTCTTAACTCACCAAATGCCTTCTATGACATTCTACTCTACTATTTATACTAACAATCCCAGCAAGCATAATACAACCTAACATTAATGTATTTTGGCCCCATTATATTGCAGTATCTCAGGTCTGCTAATTCACGTTGCCTCCTCTCCTAGTGGAATGTTAATCACATTTGTCTCCTAATGCATAGCTGTCCCCTCCTTTTTCTGAGTCTGTAGTTTGTCTTTCATTGTTGGTTCATCACAAATTTCCAATAGATGGTCAACCTATCTTAAGAGTTATGCCTCATTCTATTTGTGCACATCAAGTCTTTCATCATAATCACTAGGGTTTAAATTTTAGAGTTAATCACAACTTTGATGGATGTTGAGCTCTCAAACCAAAATCCCATCATTTTACTGCATTAGTTTGTCTTCACAGATCACAGAGGCTTTGAAATCTGGAACCTTATACCAAAAGGTAAAGTTTCTACCAAACAACATTGGTTTAGTATCAAATATCTCCGTGAGAAGGAATATAACCTCAATATACAGCTTCTATTACCTCCCATTTTGTTAGCTAATGGGGTGGATTGACTGGATTTGATTATTCTTGTCAACAAATTCAAATATATATCAGCAAAAATAAGGTTTTTTTTTCAGCAAAAATATATATTTAATTAAGTAAAAATAAGTTAACTTCAGCAAAAACAAGTTAAATTAACCATATGTAAGTTCAATATATATATATTAAACAAAAAATAGGTTATACATCTTTTGTTTCACAAGCATCATATTGACTTTATACATTATTCTCATATAAACTTCGACCACATTTAATTATTAATATATATCAATAGATATCATCATTTTAATTGTTAGTATTAATCTCAATATATAGCATTAAGATATACTTTTTTTTTATGTTTTTTAAATGAAATATAATAAAAGATATTTGAAGTCAAAGTAATGTATTGGCAAACACACATGTTCAAATTGATGCAACTATTGTGAAACGATGGAAATATTCGACAAAAAAAGAAGCCAAGTTAAGCAAAGACTCAAATAAAATAAGCTAAGTTTAACAAAGATAAGTTAGCAAAGGAGAATAAAGCTTAAATCAGGCCAAGTGAACCATACACAACAACTTAGATTATTGTACATTGACTCAATACATCTAATTATCCAAAATCTTTATAAGATGTACAAAGCAAACTCATAAGCTTGAAGTTGTGAGGTGTACACATTTCTCCACAAGCTTCACATGTAGGATCACTACTTTGTTAAAAAATTAAAAGCTTGTACCCTATTTCAGAGTACTTATTCATTCATATTCCAAACAAAACCAAACATTTATTTTATCATCTCAGCATTGTGACAACCAACAAAACATAATTTTACCAACTCTGAACTTTCAATCAAAAACTTAACTCCATGATAAAGCAGCTTTTGATTGAATGATATCGTAAAATTGTCACTAATAATTCTTATCCAAAGTGCCAAAATTTGGATTATGCACCTGGTTGCACCCGTCTCAAACGAATACTCCCAAAATCTAAAATATGAGGGACTCTATAGTCTATACCCTACATTAAGACTAAAACAATAGTTTATGAGCCCTAAAAGAATTTAGGGGCTAAAACAAAAACATATATAGAAACAATTAACCACAAGATCAGAAATTATTACTCCATAACCACAAGAAATTTATCCCACTTTTTCATAATTCGCCATTCCTCCCTTTGTAAATTTTATTGCAATATCAACCAAATAACAAAACCTTACTTATCACAAAATCTCAAAACCTTATAATATATTAATAATAACTCCTAATTTAAGCTAATTAAGAGCAAATATCTCCAAAATAAAAAAAGGAAAAATCAAATTTAAATTAACTCAAGAAGCCATGGTTGAAGACCGAGAACTCAAAACATTAACGGATGAAAAAAGCAAGAAAAATTTGTAAGCACAAAGTATAAATTAACTTAATCCCTCCGTGTTTTAATAAGTATTACACTTTGACCGACACATAGTTTTAGTCAATTTAATTGACTTAAATAAAATAAGAGATATGTGAGGTAGTTGGAGCATTAAGAAATTATAAAAGAAAGATAGTGAGGTTAATAGTTTATTGAAAAGTAAAGAATGTGAGAGGAAAGAAATAATAAAAAAAGTAGTAGTGGGTTAGATGGGGACCATGAGTAGAGAGAGATATAATATTAAAATGTAGTTTTTTGCCAAAAAGACAAGTGTAACACTTATTTAAACACGGCCGCATTTGGTAAGTGTAACGCCTATTAAAACACGGAGGGAGTATAATTTAAAATAAAGAAAATACCTATAAATTAAGATGCAAATACGTCTGTTCTCCCTTCTAAATTCACAAAAAAACATAAGATCATAATGAAAAGATCACATCATTCAAATACAAAGAACACATACTTCAGTTTCTTTATCGTATTCTTATAACATTGAATATGGCTTCATTTTTTTTGTAATACTAAGTTTGTTCTTTTCATATAAGGTGGCCGTGTATGGTAACCCCACACCCAAAGTAACCCCTTGATAAGGCTGAACTGTCATAATGTTTATTAGTAATTTCCCATGTTCAATTAATTTCAAGAGCAGCTAATTCTTCATTCAGTAAATCAAACCAAGCTTGATGCTTCAAAGCATTTCAGAAGTGATTATGTTCAGGATGGACAGGAAGCATGAGCAAGTTTTGTGAACAGCACAAAAAGAGTAGAACTGACAGTCTAAGATACCACAGCCCAAACATGAACCGAATTGATTAAGTTGTAGTATTAGTCCTATGAAATGTTTTGTCAACACCACAAAAATAGTAGAACCGGTAGTCTAAGACACTACACGACACAAACACGATACCAGCCCAAACATGAACCGAATTGATCAAATTGTCATATTAGTCCTATGATAAGTTTTGTCAGCTACATATAAATAGTATAACCAGCAGCCAAGGATACCACACGATACAAGCCTAAACATGACTCGATTCGATCAATTTGTCATATTACTCCTGCGAGAAATTTATGTGAACTAACACAAAAAGCAGTTTCCCCAAATTGCTAGCTACACTTGAATTAGATCAACAAAAAAAAGTTAATAAAGTAACAAACCTCATTGCCAAGTAAAAATGCAGTGCTCCTGGTAAAAGGATGTTGATTAACAGGCTTAGCATCATTTGTAATCTCTACACCACATATATCACAATTTCTTTCCTGAAAATCAAAACCCCAGCAACCCCAACAAATCAAAAATTTATTCCCATTACTAATATGAAATTGAAGATGCCATTTTTCTACTAAAAGGAGGTTCAAACCTTGAGAAAGTTGCGAGCCTCCAAGAGAGAGTGAAAATGGCGTATGCCGATGTGAGAGACGGAGCCATGGTTGCCGAAGGAATTAAAGTCACGGCGGCCAACAAGAATTAGTTCTGATACGCCGAATGCGGTGGCGCTACGGGCTAATGTGCCGACGTTGTGGCGCTTAGCAATGTTGTGCACCATTACATAGCTCTCCACCGCCGCTGATGGCTCCGACGCCGCTGCTGCTGCTGTGGAGGCGGAGTTGGTTTGGGTCATATTTGATAATGGAGAAAACCAGTTTGATTTTAGACTCAGGGGTTTTTGGTTTCTGGGCTAACTTCGTCGGGTTTATGCTTTTCCTAGGCCCCAAATGCTAAAGGGACTCATGATTAATAAAAATCGTTAATTTAGTGCCAATTTAGTGCCATTTCTGTAGGTAAATCACCAAATATCCTAGTTAGCATCTCATTTTCGTAAATAAATCAACATTAATGAGACCCGCAAGTAATAAAAGTTGTTGATTTTTGTATAGAAATGCCACCAGATAAACACTTTTTTGTTTATCATGAACATAAACTTGTATTTTCTCCAAATGCTACTCCCTCCATATTTTAAAATAGGAAAATTTGTTAGAGAAAACCTTTTTTTATAAGTCAACCTTTTTTTTTAGAATTGGTGTTAAATATAGTGTGATTGTCCACACTTTAATTTCTTCATTGCAATTAATGTCTAGCCAATCTCATTGCCACCCCCCTAAAGTTATAGCCCACAATGTAATAGTAATTTGCACTATTATAAATTGCTATGCAAATTTACTTGTATGAGACACAAATATTACATAAGAGTAATATACACAAGTAGTAAATCTACACCTCTTACCTTCTTCTCTTAATATATATATTCAAATTTACTTGTATGAGACACAAATATTACATACGAGTAATATACACAAGTAGTAATTCTACACCTCTTACTTTCTTATATATATTTTATAACACTTGGCAATATAAAACCTAGCCAGGCTCAACCCAGCACGGTGCACGGACCAGCACACTTTTGTCCTTCTGTTGGCAACCTTTTGTCTTATTGTGATACTATATTGTGAGCAAATGACAATAATAATACTAACAGTGACAAGATAAATATTATCAAGGCAATATTCAAACTAGTATTAACAATATTGTTTTTAGCATTTAATCAACACAAATTAACTTTTATGGTACTAGTTATTTCTACTCTACTACTTATATACCATAATGAATCCTCTTTTCAAATTTAATGCCCACCATGCTTCGCAATAATAATTGTTTACTAAAAAAGTTTTGACCAATACCTGAACTTAGTTGGCAATGGAACCTCCGATGTTCTTCAGCTTTTGGCTTTACCAAGGTAGCTAACCCCAACCTTGCCTTCCTTAGATCAAGCTCAGCACGGATCTAATTCGTTTCCTACCTTAGACCGTAATTTCTACTTAAACAAGTTATATTGTGTTTTTGGTGAACTTTTAAACAGCAAAGTAATTCATTTGAAATATAAGGTTCGAGAGGATAACGTTCCCTCTTGAAAGAAAACTTTTTATTTAATAAGGAAATATTACAACACTCATATTTTACAATACACAAACTGAAAGCTTAAACAGACATGAATTGAATTAGAGTTTCTCTATTTTAAGAGAGATGGAGAACCAATCTATCTCTTAAGGTGAGTATTTTTCTCTAGAGGACTCTCTAATGTTTTCAGAGAAATGCTCTAGCTTACTCCTTCAACTCCGCCCTTCCTCTTATTCTCTCATCCTTTATATAGCAAAGAATTCTTATCTTCTACCGACACTCATGACTCAGCAAGTTCATAAGAACCACTGCTTTTACAAAGATATTTTCAAAAGATATACAGACAATAAAAACATGGCTACAGTAGATTGCATGATTGTTGTTGTGGGCTCAGGAATCCATTATCTCGTCCATCATCATGTCTTGTACCACCTTCACTGTCTTTACTGTCTTCATAATGGACATACATAGGATTATCATCCTCTATGCCGAGATCCTTAACACATTTGGCAGCATAAGATTCATCCCATGTCATGAAAGCTTCAAACAGATACTCATGTCCTTCGAACGATAGAAATTTTCCACTCTCAACATCTTCTAAATATTTGTAGATCGACTCGTTATTGTTTATGCCATCTACTAAATATTCTCTCATTTCATTTGGTGCTATAATTTTTGTATTACCCACATGGAATATAACAAGAGGATTGTCGATTCTTTTTATAAAATCATTGAGATATTGCGAGATGTAGAAGAATCCCAGTGCTCTTGCTTCAGTAGGATTTTTAACAGTCTTCTAACGAACTAATACTGGATCATGAGTACTAAATGCCACTTTTCCAAACATTATCAAATAATGAGGCGGATTGACTTTTCCTACTACAACTTCAATATTCGCACATTGCACCTTGCTTCTAGCTGAAGATTTTCCTTTTTGGTCATCACAAAATTTTCGGACCTTATTGAATGCATATTGTTGGAACTTTGTAAGCTTTGGCAAGAATGAATCATTAGGAGTAGGTAAATCATGAAAGGCATATACCATTCCATAATCCCAAGCTTTGTAATGTATCCAAATGAATGGAGCATCCGGATGGAGTGGATACGGATTAATGCGTAATGATGCCACTTTAGAGTTTGTAGGAACCTCTACTCGTTCTCCCCATAAGTCTCGAACATCAAAGAATCGACTGGATCTTGTTACTACTAGCTCGTACCATGTTCTAAAATCATTATCCCTTATTTTATTGAGTATTATATTTTGTAAATCAGGAATGAGTTGAAATAACATAATCGTTACTTCAAACATCAATAGCCTTTGGACTGCTCGATGGCAACCCTTGATTAAACCATCTCGTGATCGTTGTTTTGATGAAATGATCAAGCCCTGCATTAGAGCCCAACTGGAGGGTGAAACCCGCTCCATTGCTTTCTCTGTTTCACCAATGAGAGTTTTTCTCTCTGCATCCATCTTTTGAAGTAGGTGTGCAGGAGTTTTTTTTGTGTTACCTTGAGCTTCTTCGACATTGGCTAATTCTCTAGTCAAGCTGTCTACCAAAGAATTCTTTGATCCCTGAATATGTTCAACAGTAAACGAAAATTGGTTAAGCCATAATTGCCAACGCAGGAGTCTCCCTTGCGCTTGCATATTAGACAAGTTCTTTTTAACAAAACCAATTATGCCTTTGTAATTAGTTCTCATTAGAAATTGCTTTGTGGCTAATGATATGTTCATTTTATATAGTGATTTATCCCCGTGCCTTGGTCATATTTAGGAGTATTATTGGCTCTTCGGAGTCACTTTTATTACTAATATGTGTTTTCTAGTGTTTTCGTAGTTTTGGTACTATTTTATAGGAAATTGCAGATTTTGGGCATTTTCCCGGAGTTATGTTAAGCCACTACGAGCATTAGAGAATTATGTATTTTATGGCCCAAGACCGGTTGGAGTCGTAAAATCGGTGATTAAGGGCTTGGCAAAGAAGAAGAGTTCGTGGTAATGGACCGTGTTTCAAGACCCAAGAGGAAATTCAGATTGGGCCAAGAAAATAGCCCAAGTGAGGTGTCCATGGTTGCCCGAAGAGCTCGCCCGACCGGCTAGGCCCTCGCCCTGAGGCGCGCCCGGTCGGGCGAGGCATATAGAAGAAAAAGAGGCTTCGCCCAGATGCGCGCCCGACCGGGCGCAAATGAAGTCTAAAGGCTTAAAAAGGCGGGCCCGGCCGTGAAAGGAATGGTGTCCTTCCAACAAGTGTATTATTCCGATAGAGGATTCAGAATTATTGGAAAGCTAATTCTTCAGTAAGGTCAAGTGATCGGAATGCCTAGGTGGAGGCCGCTTCCGATCAGTAATATTAATGTACAATTAATATTACAGCTTAATCTTGACTGAACCCTTCGGGTCGAACCCAATCGAACAACCGATCCGAGACGACAAATCAATCCGAAGGATTTGATGAGTCGTTAGAGTTTTACGAACAAAGACGTCGGATATCGAGCTTAGACCGTCGAGACCGAGCGCCGCAAGTCGAGTCGAATTTGGAATTCGACGAGACGTGAAATCAATCAAGTTACAAGTTCGAGCCTAGCCGTAGCCTAGCATTGGCCTAGCCATGTGAGTGCTAGGCTAGGCAAGACCCCTCGCAATGCTAGCCGCAAGCCTAGCATGCTGGGCGTGCTAGGACCATGCGTGCTAGCAAGCCATCGCACGTCGCTAGGCATAGCCTAGCACTGCTCGCAAGCATCGCAGCCTTGCGTGCTTGCTAGCATGTTGGGCGCCTAGCCATCACAGCGACACACCATCGCAAAGCAGCATGCTAGGCGTGCTGCGCTATGCGTGGTGTTAGGCAGTGGCACGCACCAGACCCCAGCCATCGCATACGCTAGCAGCGTGCTAGCCAAGCTGGGCCAAGCACCGCTGCACACCATGCGTGCTGGGCCTCGCATGGCAGCAGCCCTGCACCTCGCACATCGCTAGCACCACGCACCAGCCAGCAGCATGCTAGGCATGCTGGGCTGTGCGTGTGTGCTAGCAAGCAGCAACGCCTAGCATGCGTGGCTCGCTAGAAGCACGCATACACTGGCTGGCTGCGCATGCGGGCTGGCTGTGCGTGTGTGTGTGCTAGCTGGCTGGCCAGGTTGCTCAGCCTTGGTGCTAGGTGCTAGCTGGCAGCCTTGGCAGCCAAGGCAGGCTGCCAGCCAGCCACTTGGAGGGGAGGGCCGGTTTGCTTGTGGGGACCAAGTGTGTGAGCTTTGCCTTGGGGAGCAAGGCTATGGTCCCCCCCCCCTTTGGAAATGGTCCTCACCGAATCTCTCATCCTCCTTGTGACACTTGTAACTTATTGATTGCAATTTTATTTTTGTTTTAATTAAAATAAAATGGGAAAATTACAAATCTCCCACATTGATTGAGAATGGGAATTCAAGGTTCATTTCCCTATAAATACCAAGGTTTTGGGATTTGGGAAGAACACTTGAGTGGAACTAAAAAGGCATCTCCTTAGAAAAGTGAGAAAACCCTAAGTTCGTAAAACTCTAGTTTTTATTGGTCGGGTACCGACTAACCTTCAGGACTTGGACCGTTTGGGTCGGGTTCGTGGGTACGAGCCGTCAGAGACCTTCGCATTTGCGGGGTTCAAGTTTTGAAGTAAGAGCTCGGGATTCGAGTGAAGCACGCGCCAAAGGTAAGAATGTCTTTTCCTTCTCTCTCTTAATTGTTGTTTAATTTGTGATTTCATGCTTAGTCGCTTTAATTAGTGTGCGGGTCTTGGACGAGTTTCTCTTCCGCGTAGAGTTGGACTCTACGAAACCCAACAGCGGGATCGGAGCCGCGCTCA